AAAAAGGAAAGGAAAGGAAAGTAATTGGTTTAAGGAAAGGAAAGGAAAGGAAAGAAAAGGAAAGAACAGGCAGGGAAAACACAGAAAGGGAATAGAAAAGGAAAAGCAAGGGGAAGGAATGCAACTTGTGAATATGCTTTTTCCAGGCTTTCCAAAAAGCATATTGGAAAGGAAAGCCAAGAAAAGGAAAAGGAAGGAAAGGAAAGCAAAGCAATGGACAAAGAAAGGAAAGGACAGGTAAGGTATGCAATTTGTGAATATGCGTTATCCTGGCAGTCTAAAAAGCATATTGGAAAGGAAAGGAACAGGAATTGGAGATGCACATGGGCAGGTGGGAATGCAATTTGTGAATATGTTTTTTCCAGGCCTTCCAAAAAGCATATTGGAAAGGAAACCCAAGAAAAGGAAAAGGAAGGAAAGGAAAGCAAAGGAATGGACAGGAAAAGGAAAAGGAAACGGTATGCAATTTGTGAATATGCTTTTTCATGGTAGGCTAAAAAGCATATTGGAAAGGAAAGGAAAGGAAAAGGACAATGTTAAGGAAAGCAAAGGAAAGGAAAAGGACATGGACATGGACAGGTAGGAATGCAATTTGTGAATATGCCTTTTCCATGCCGTCTGAGAAGCATATTGGAAAGGAAAGCAAGGAAAAGGAAAAGGAAAGGAAAGCATTTTATGAATGCGCCTGAAGCCGGGCCGGGCCAGTGACATGCTGTATGGACATTCCAGTGGGGGACTGCTGCTCTGAAACTCAAGACTTTGGACAGTCTGAAAAAACGTTACAGCGGAACAGAGCGGAATGGTTCGTTTTTCTTTTCGGTTCGGTTGTGTTTGGAAAATTGACGGTTGTAATGATTCGGTTGATGAAACATTTCGGTTCTTGACATTCGCTGACTTTCGGTTCCGAAAGTTCGGTTCCGAATCGATTCGGGACCCTTCCTGTATTTTGCTCATGCGTGCATGTCAAGAAAAAATGAAATATCATGGTATATGTTTCTTTGAATGCTTGGGAGCCACCACTCCGTGTGACCGACTGGAATCTACATGGTGACCGACTCAGTCTGAATCGGGGGGGGTCCGGCTTGGGCCAGGTTATGTCAGGTTCATCACCCAAATAACTCCATGAAGAGTGAGAGTAGTAGACTTTTAAACCTCTTCTTTAGGCCACCCCCTCATTAAGTCCAAAACAGGCAGGGGGGTGGAGTAGGGTTTGCTCCGACACCCGCCGTGTGGAATCCAAGGTCATCTTCGAACCCCGCCGTGTGGCCCCGCTCTTCGTGGCCACGGCCGAGCCGCTCCCGGCCGACGTCCACCGCGCACGACGAGACGTCCACGCACGGCGAGTGCGAGGGCCGCAGACGAGGCCGGGCTGGCTTGGGGGCACCAGGTGGATAGGTTGCCAGAACCCTTTTAAAAAACAGCTGCGAAAACATGATATTTGTTTAAATAGTGTTGGTTGCTTTGTGTTTCTATGTGTTTCTTAATTCAGGTGTTTCTTGTTTGTTTGTTTGTTTGTTTTTTGGTGCACATGCGCTCCATTTTTCTATGCATCCTTGTGCTCTTGGATGAACGCCTGCACGACAAGTGAACGACCACCTCTAGGGGCCGGCTCCTCTAGGGCCGCTCCGATGGTTTGGCTCAGCTCACGCAGCCCTAACCATGTAAATGAGGCTGTGAGATGCGCCATGTGCAATCTCGAAACAAAGGTCCAATGCAGAGTTCACAACAAAACGCACCAGCATTCACGTTGCACCCGACGCTCCTGAACAGTGGGTTAAGACTCAGCCTCAAGCAGCCATGCCCCCTGACCAGCAAATTCAAAAGGCAGTTGACGGTGTTGGAGGCGTCTAAGGCCATGTGAGTTTGGAGGCACAAAAAGCATGTGGGCATACTCTGAAGAGTCTTTGAAGCTCACGTGTTTGTGCACAAGTGGATATGCAAAAGCTCTGGCGTCACTGGGCCTTATGCATGTGTGTGTTCAAGACACCATCTACGAAGTGGCTGCAAACGCAAAAGTGCCGCGGGAGAGCAAAAGGAGTCTAGGCTCAGGCTTTGGTACCTTAAGTCGGATTCAAAGAAAACGGCCATCCATGTGGTACTCAGGCAACCCTCCACAGCGGCATAACTGAAGTTTCACCTAGGAATCATTTCAAAGGGACGCACGTTGTGGCGCAAGCCTTAAGCGGACATGCTAGCTTGACTTGGGTCGGCATAGTACCACCGGCGAGCACATTTCCTACATATCAGCAAATCCTTCTCAATTGCTAATAGCATCTTGCTCCGGTCGTTCATGCGAAAGCCGACTGTTCCCGCAACTACTTGCTCAGCACAGACGAGAGGAGTCACCCTCCTTCCAACACACTGCTTGCAATTGGCTCACTTCACTCTCCACTTGTGGGCACCTACATCCAATCCACAAGAGCTAAGGATCACCAGGCACAGTCTTCAAGAAATCAGCCCTGGTGCTCCCTCCAAACCATTTACCAAACCCAGCTTCCCGGCGCTTCCTTTTTAGGAACGAGGCACATCGCATCTCTTCAGTCTCTTCAAGCACCCCGTGAGAGCACGAGAACTTGGGCCTCAAACTCGGTGAGAGCAACCCCTCGGTTGGGGTAGCATGGAGGTTGGTGCATCTGGCTGGGACTTGCCACAAGAACACGGTGCGTACCCAATGAGGGGCAGTAATTAAACCTTGAGCCTCATTTGCATGGAGCATGGCGTGCAACGATCCATTAACAAGCCTGTGCAGTTGTTCTTGTTCCTTCGGGGTGTGACCATGGTTTGTCGCTTGATGCGGAACACCCCTTCCCCATGGATCCGGGCAAAGCGATGCGAGTGAGCCGCCCTCCTTACGCCACCCTAGGTCAACAATACGGTTCACACACTTATGCGTGCACACACACATATCATATCCCAGGGTCCAGACTGAATCCCGGTCGTAACCAACATCATTTTTTGAATCATGCCTCACCTGAATGGTTTTTCTCGGCCCACATCACACACCGTTTCTCCGGAGCTTCTCCTAACCGCGTGGACGTGTCAAGCAGCCCACGAGATAAATGTGATCCCCAAATAGATAGTGGCACGCTTTCCAATACATGTTTATATAATCGGGATCTACTTTTCTATTTTTGGGGGGTCTCTATAACATGATCTATTTGGAGAATTCCGAGCAAAAGAGCCTTCGCCCAGATTGTGATGCGCGCGTCTACCATAAGCCGATCACTCCAGTGCGTATGGACCATCCAGGCATAGCAAGGTCAACAATAAAGCGATTTTCGGTGCCTTTTGGACTACTGGTGCCATCCAAATGTGCAAACCGAAAAAGACTTATAACACAAATGTAACACATTCATTCAATCAATGAGTGGCTGGTGATGGGTTTTGACACTCCAAAACCATTGGTTTCTCGCGGAAGCCCTGCACGGCTCGAAGGTTGAGACCGCACGGATTGAAGCCACGGCGCGGTGGTGTGGCCTTTCTCATGCGGCGGGCGGCACGCCGACGGCGTGAGGCATGGTGACCTACCTAAACAGATGGTGACGACTTAAAAGCACATGCCCAAACAGGCTGAAAGGTCAAGACCAAACAGTCCCAAAGCTGCAAAACCATGCAATAGTCGGTTGACGGCCCCGGCACCAGGACGCGGGGGCTGCCAAAAGGAGCTGTTTCAAGATGGGAAGCATGAGATTGTTTCCTTGTCTTCTTTTGGTGGCAGTCTTATTCCACTCCATTTCACATATTTGGGCTCTTTTGCATTTATCGAGAACTGCCATTCTTTGATTAGACCTGGGTTGGGTATAGATTTGTTCACCACATGGGACACTGCAAGTGAACGACAGATCTACGATGTTTCACAATCACTAGATTCATGTGTTATATTTGTTCATTGGCCTGTTTTTGGTCCACTGGGGCCGGTATTGAAGTGCTGTTTCTGCCATTGGTCACATGCAGCTGGTCCTGTGGTGCAATAGTGAACGCCACATCTGTGAACCATGCCTCGCCCACGATGTTCAGAGATCATCAATATAGATGACTTTCCTTACTCTGGTTTTGACGCTTGAGTCTAGTCCAGCTAGGAAGCGGACTGGGCGTGTTGACGGACCGTGTGGTCACATGGTCCCACAATGTGTCGTTGACGCCGCGGCCTCACCTGACGGCTGGCTGTACAGTGTGCAGATTGAGAGGTGAGACCACTGCAAGCGTCAAGTGGAACATGGTGCCCATGTGGTTCTTCTCCATCTTACATTCTTCTACACCTGGTGATCTATGTTTAAATCAACCCTACCTGATAGTTGTTTACTAGTTTACCATCGAAGACCCCAAGTGTACACCTTTCCATTCAGAATTGCAGGGGAGAAGAGGATCTTCCTCTTCCTGGCTTTGCAGTTTGTTTTTTCATGTCAATTTCCATCTCAGTCCGCTGGGAAAGGCAATGGAGGCTAGATGCCATGCTAATCAGGGGAACTCATCTTAGTTACATGACTTTTCTGTTTTTTGAGGGATTTGTTTCACCGTTTGTGGTGTGGTAGCTTCTCTTGGCTTTTGGTGGCTTTGGCTTTTGGCTTCCGGTGGCTTGTGTTGGCTTTTTGTTGCTTTTGTTGGCTTTTCGTGGCTTCATTCATTGTTACAGGGAATGTGATATATGATATACCCCAGAGATGATAGTTGTTCTCTTTCCCGTGCATCCTGGACACAACGCCCACCGACTGAAGACATTTTAGGGTTTTTCCACGAGGGAAGGACGGACGGAAGGAAGGAAGGAAGCAGTAGCCAGTGTCGTGAGTTGCCGTGCAAATCCGTGCTGCCTGCAGTGGCCATGTAGCATACTGCTTTTTGGTGAAGCTCAAGAAAGGAAGGAGCCTTTTGAACGCATACCTTTGTGATCCTTTGTGTGTACCACCCGACACCCGAGGGCAAAATTTAGAGAAGGAAGGGCAGGGGCTCCCAATGTAGCCGACCTTCTGTGAGCCAGCCGAGGGTAAAATATACTGTAGCTGAGGCAGAGGCCATTCCAATGTAGCAGACCTTTTCTGAGCCAGCCGAGGGTAAAATTTTAGAAGAGGAGAGGCCAGCCGAAGGCGGCAGACCTTTTGTGAACCACCGCAGGTAAAATTTAGAAGACGCAGGCCACTCCAATGTTAGCATACTTTTGTGAGCCAGCCGAGGTTGAAATTTAGAGGAGGCACCATTATAATAGCCATGCAGCAGTGTGAGCCGCCGAGGGCAAAACTTGGAGGCCACTCCAATGTAGCAGACCTATTGTTTTGTTTGCGTTGAGCGCTGGCCAGTGCATTGAGTGCTACGCTGCTGTTGCTTTTGCTGCTGCTGGCGGCCAGCTCAACATAGTAGGTGCTGCGAGTGGCTAGCTTACGACGCTGTGCTGCTCACGGTGGCCGGGGCAGTACAGGTCGTGTCGCTTTGAGTGCCCAGCCAGGGAAGGTCGTCAGACCTCGTCAGGTCATTTGGAACGAACCTGAGGCGGTTCGGGTGGACGGACGTCGCAGGTGGCCCGAATGAACTATGAGAACACCGTGCGGGACCCGATGCGAGACGTAGACCTTCGGACTTCTGGTTGTGGGAAGGACTGAAGAGTTAGACAAGCATGTCATATGGTTTATTGAGACTGAGAGACAAAGAAAGGATAGGAAAGGAACAAGAAGGAACATCGAGACATGTTGAAACAATAGAAAAATATGAAAGAATCAAAGTCAAGACGCTTGTGAGGCTTGGTGTTGGATTGAATGCGTGTTAGCTGCTATAGCTATCTACAGTTTGTTTTCCTTCGGCAAGTGTTCCGAGACTTCCAGTAAGCGGGGTGAGGCAAAACAAAGTTTTCATACTTGTGTGGGTGGGCGAGTTTCTTTTTCCCACCCATTTGTTCCAACATCTCCTTCCCGCACGCGTGAGGTGATGAGAGCAGATTTGAACAAGATGAGGGAGGAGGTGGTGAAGTTTCAAACTGAGATGAGAGCTTCACAAGTAGTGAGATCGCCCCTGCCATACATCTTGCAGTCCGGTCCGTCATGAGACATGCCCATGAACCTGGCCTTCGGTCGCAGTTGCCACGATAGGTTTGGAAGACTTGTGATGAAGGAGAATCCAATTGGTTGGTTGGAATGCATTTATGGGAAGCTAGGATGAATTGGGAACATCATCAAAGATATCCGGCACTTTGAGGCATCCAAAGGAATTAGACATGGAACGTGTAACATGGAAAGATAACAATCTAATTCCTAAGTCCTAAGTCTTGGTTGTTAAGATGTTCTGTATATTGTCACACTTAAGTGGTCATAAACCTTTTGTTGGATGTCCTGGCAAATGTGCATAATTACTTGGAGCGATGGTTTTCCATATTTCCGGGATCCTGATACCTATCCTGACGAGTCTGGGGCATATCTTGGGTGGAGTTGGTGCGTTGCGTCAATCCTGATGGCTGAGCATCAATCCCGATGGCTGGTACGTAAGAGCAGAGTAGGATCTATTCAAGACTATGACGATCACATCATTTGTGCATCTCGTATTTGGGGCACAAAAGGCAACGGTTTCACTGTAGGAGCAAGATTAGAAAGACGATACTCGGGTTGGCCAAGGCTGATGTTTGGAGATCAGATATTACCTGCATTGAGCCAATTCACTTTGGATTTTCTAAGTAAGAATGCTTCTTGTTGCTAGTAGCTTCTTGCTACTAGTAGCGCCAGGAGCCCCTAGTAGCATCGCTCCTGGTAGCGATGCCGTTCCTAGTAGCGTCCTTGTTCAATGTGCTTTTGTTTGTATCACCGTGGTCAGATTTGGCATATCCTAAGCATGCGGGCAGATGTGTGACAAGCAGTCCACACGGTGCGGATGAAGCAAGAGGAGCTGGGCATGGCTGTGGCATGGAGTAGCCAACGTACTGCTCAGCCACCTAATGGGCCTTTTCAGGCAGCTGGATCGTGGTCCTTCTAGTAAAGTAGATATTCCAGTCCTTAATTGGTCTGTCTGTGTTTTGCAATTCCGGCGCCAACACTGGGTGTTGACTGGCGTTGATGCGTGGCCTGTTTGCCCATAATGGGCATGGCAGCTGCAGTGACGCCCGAAGTTTTACAACTGGTGATGGAAGAAATTAGCTTTCACCAGCTTGATGAATGATACGCAATACTTCCACTCGCCATCCCGATTTCTTCCTTCCACCAATATTTGCCCAAGACTTGCCAAAGACTCGGTCATAGGTTGCGTCTACGGGTGTCAAAAGAAACACATCTATGAGTCTATGGGCGTGGGTCCAGGGGGCCTTCCTGGAGCGCGCGTGGCCCGTTCGTGGGTTAGTTAGCAGTGGTTGCAGAGTAGATGACACAAAGCAGGTGAAGGGGGAATGCATGATGCATCTACCAAAGGTGCGGGTTGTGCCATCTACTCTGAAAACCACATAGGCAATTCTTGTTGGCCCCTTTCTTCTTGTCACCTATGACCGATGGGTGGTCCATGCGCAGCTCCGCGGAGTCGCTGTCTGCCACCGGAGATCTCCGGATCACGGCCCGGCACGGCTCCGGATCGCTCGAGAAATGGTCGAAGAAATGGCAGTGGCATTGGACCGAAGGGTGCAGCAGCGGCCGAAACCGAAGGGCACGAAGGGCACGCGAGGAAGGGCATTGCTTTCTTCATGCACTTTTGGTGAGGACACTGATGACCTGGTGAGCTTGGACGTGTCTGACGGTTGGAACAGGGTGCTTCGGGAATCCATCACTTAATGTCACTCGGGTCTGCCGTAAAGGGCGCTGAGGACTCACGACTGACAGGGTGCCACAGTTGGTGGCTTTGGCCACAAGAGGGGAAGGATTTCTGAAATTTGGAAGGGCCATCCAGTTTGATCGTCGCTGAGCTTTGTATCATGCTTTGTGCCGGATCTGCGTCGGAATCTCACAGGCTCTCAGCAGCAACACGTCCAGCAAAATGTTTTTTTTCTACGCTGGCTGTGGAGTTGTTTGTGAACGCCATTGTTGAGTCACTTCGCATGTCTGAAGCTAGGAGCTCCAGGTTGTCCAAGAACTTAAGTTTTGCAATTTCCACTGGTAGATTGCAGATTTGCCACTCCTGTGTGCTGTGAGTTGAGCGCCAGCCGCTTCTGCGTTCCCGCCCACTGCGCCGGTCCTGCGGCACGCTCGTTTTCCTCCAATGGCGGGACTTGCGGGAGGCCGCTTCCAGGAGCTGATCGAGCAGCTGTTAGCGGAACATGTGCCTTGGCATGATGTTGTTCGAGGTACTTCGCTTGGGTTCCGGAACCGTCATCCACGCCGCCTTGGGGAGGTGGAACTGCCCAATTGCCGGCTTCGCCGGTTTCCGTCCGTGACTCCCGAGGAGGAGGAGGTGCGATGCCTGAAGGAAGAGAATAGCGCCCTGCGAGAACAGCTTTTAAATCCATTGAGCCCAGATGATTCTGTGCAGGACTCTGGCGGAGACCCATGCTGGCGTTCCGGGATTTGTCCAGAGACTGTCAGGGGCGAGTGCAAAGTGAAATCCAAAGGGGCCTCCGAACCACCAGATTGGTTCCTGCTGCATAGGGTTCCGTGGGGTGAAAACCCAAATTTTGGACCTGAGAAAAAGAGGCTTGGCTAAAAGACCGATTTGTCCACCCAGCGTTGGTAAGTTTAACTGCACTCCGACTGATTGACATGGAAGTGGCAAAACACCTGTTAGTATAGAAGCAAAAAGTCATCTATATATGTAAGCAGCCATTTTTGACTTCCACTATTTCAGGAAGTGAGGCGTGAGGGACCCTTTAAAGACATCTTTAGAACCTCTATAACATTCTATAACTATATAGCTTGGACACCGCCCCATTCGTTGAAAAACCAAGTGGCCAGTCGCGCATCTCCATTCGGTGAGGAGCCTGAGTCTCCGAAGTTGCAGGTTGAGCTGCAAGACGAGGACGAGGAATGGAGAAGCGAAGCTGGTGGGACCGTCCCAGCCACCCGAACCCGGTGCGGCAATGTTAGGCATTTGCCCAAGGACTTGACAGTCTTTCATGGTTCAGGTGTATATATTTATATACATATTACATTTTCAATGAGGTGAATATTATACATGTGGTTTTTAGTTTGTGTATTTATCGGTAATTATGGTATAGGATGGTATGTATATAGAAAAGTACAGTATATATATATATATGTAGGTGTAGTAGTGTACAGTGTACACACATATACTTATGTATAATATAGGTATTTCTGCACATACAATCTATGTACATTATATGACGGGACCACACGTGGCCCCAAGCATTTCCCAAAGAGCCCATCTAGGAGCAGGTATTTCATGCGTGACCTGTTTGTTTTTGCGAAGTGGACATTTGGGAGAAGCACCCAGTTTCACGGCTTCATGGTGGTGCGGCTCAAGGCAGTCCGGTTTCCAATGCCATTCTGTGTTTGTCGGTCTTAGTGAAATGAAAAAGCTGAGAATTGAGTGAACCTTCTTTGCAGTTACAAAACCGGTCTACAAGTTTAAGTTTAATATAAGGCCCGCATCAACCGGTTAAACCCCGACTTGGCTTTTTTTTCCTCCCAGGAGCCCAGGCGAGATAGCAGTGAGGTTCTGCGGCAGGAGCCTGGACCTAGGTTCAAGAATCAAATGTGGCTGGCCTCTACTGAATATGGACACTTCAAGACAAAGTCGTTCCACTGCCTGCGGTTGCAGTTCTGCTTAATTGAAGCACACTGTTTTAACAATCCCTGTTCCACCTGGAGCCTCCCACTTGAAATCCCAGGGCTTTCCCAGGTGGTGGTGCAGCACTTTCCATGATTCCATTCCATCCTCCAACCTGGAGACATGCAACCGAAAAGCCCCTGCAGGAGGCTGACGAGACCAACCCAAGCCCGGAAGCGCCGGCCGCGGTGGTGAAATTGGGTGAGGCGATGCCACTGTGACGGTCACACCTCGCGATGCATCGCGAAAGCCATCGGACATCATGATGGGACCCTACAACAACATGGTTTAGATGCAAACTCAGCCTTCCAAGAACTGGGTATCCCCAAAAACGATGTTGGTCTATAGCATTCTAATAGGATTCTATAGAATATACTTCTATGATCTTCGATGCTTGGAGGATCAACACCCCAAACGCCCAGCCGTCAGATCCGCTGATGGGAGGCCTCACGGAGCGCACGCATCCCACCGCCATTGGAGAGCGCGTCTGGGGCGGCACACCGGTGGGAGGGCCGTAGGGACGAGTGGACCGCGCAAGGAGGTCCTCTTTCAGATCACTCGACTGGCTAAGTAAATCTTGATGTATCGCCTGCGCCGGAACATCAGTTTCTTGTGTGTCGCCTGCAGCGTTCAACGCAATTCCATGGCTGTTTTGGCAGTAAATGCATCACGTAATTACAGTTTAAGAAAGATCCGTTTGCAGGCATAACATCTTTCGATCAGATAAGACTGAGTTGTGCTGTGGCTTTACGGATTCTTGGTGTGGCATCGCATCTCTCCAAGAATGCTCAAAGCAATTGATGGTAGAATCCTGAAGGGTTTCAGCACGTAACCACTAAATGACTCAAGAGTCTGTTCTCCCTTATCTTTCTCGAGACCTCCAAGGATGGCGAGGACGAAAGCGGGGAGAGCAAGGAACGCGGCCGCAGCAAGGAAGGTGCCGGGGTGCAGACGGTCACTTGGTGAAGATTTGGGAGGATCGGGCAGCGACCCACAAAACATGGTTCTATGAGTCTATGATGTTCTATGGCGCCCGACAAACGTGTTGCACTGATCCTGCTCAGGCACTTGCCTTACAACCAAAACCATCACCGTGTCCGCACCAAGTATGGCCTTATGGCATTGTTGGCTCCTCTTGAAAGGTACGCATGCCCGCTGAAATCGTCCACCTGATCAGCCGATCGTGCACCAAAAGGTTTCATCGAACCTGTGGAAGCCTCTTCTTGTTCTTCTTCTTCTTCTTTTTCTTCTTCTTCTTCTGTATCATGCAAACCAGTTTTACGACTCCCGGCTTCACACTACCAAACCCAACATGTCACTGGATTCCGCAGCTCTCAGGTTCCTTCTACATGATTTGATTGATTTGGACTCTCTTGATGTCTGAATCTCTACAGCATCTTTCCCGTGAACTTCATCACCTGGTGCTCAAAAACGAATTGAAATCAGTGTCCAACAGCAGCTCCATGGTGCCCAGCAGCTCCCATGCAGCATGTCGCCGCTCCCAGGTCCGGGCCATCTTCCACCGGCTGAGTGCACTGCCAGCTTCCGCCTTGCAAGGCGGTGCCGTGGCGTGTTCAATGCAAGCAGGGGTTACCAGCTGTATTGATGCGTTTTTATGGCCCACTGCTCGACGGAAGCTGTGGCTTGGACAGATTCGCAAGTCGCGCTATGCGTTTTTATGTGTTTGTCCGACAGTTGCTGTGAGTTGTTGCTGTTTGTTCCTCGTACTTTCAGCGCCAGAGGAAGACTTGTCGCTGGGGTGTCAGGCCAGATACCTGCTCGCTGCAGTGTGGTGGTGAAAAGCGGAGAGATGAGTGGAGAAACCAAGATAGCAGCATTGAACGAGGAGCCGACACGACAAGAAACGGGAGCGGGAGTGAAATCTCAAGACTCAAGACAGCCGCGCCAAAATGGAATGCGCCTCGTGCGCCTCCACTGTCGCAGCATGGCTTTCAGCTAGGCTATACTCTCCCTTCATTCTACTACCATATTCTTTTGAATATCTACATCGCATCATCGCCGGGCTCAGACGCTCCCGATCAGTCTTGGATCGGCTACCATCAGGAGATGGACGCGGACGCGGATGCGGATGCTGCCCTGCCCCACGCGGTGAGCCATGATGGTGAGACGACTTTCAAATGTGTCACCTGGCAAGAGAGAGGTAACAGGAAAGGGGTCCCAGATGGCTGGGCCTTGGACCATCTTGGACCTATGGTACGTATGGTAGCAGTGATATCCTGTGATTATAAAAAATATGGTCATCACTGCATATACAGCATATATATATATATACGTATGAGTATATCACACTTACTTCTTCATTTAGCCTTGAGCATGTTCGCATGTCCAGCACTCATCGTGTCCGTCACTACTTTCGTCGTCGCGAATCAAGTCAAGTTTTCACTGCCAACTGACAGTGATCATGTCACTTTTTCTTGATCATTTTGTGCTTCATGGAGCCGCAGGATTGGGGTGACGATGGAGCAGATGTGCCTCTTAGCTGCCAATATCTCTTCAACTTGACCATCTTAGTGGTTCCACCGGAGCTTCATCCGGCGGTGGAAGGTTCCAGCGGAATCCACCGCGGAATTCTCCCAAAAAAAACCGAGGTTGCTCTACGTGCCTTCAGCAATGTTGGATGAATACATGCTGGTCGAGATCCAATGCGAAGGACTAGGGACCATCGCCACGGGTCAAGTGAAACTCAATGCGCACCGACAGCGACTCGGCTGCGTGACGGCCCAGTGGCAGCTCGATACACCGGTGACGGCCGTTGGATTTTTGGGAGCAGCTGAGTGAAAGCCGGACGATGATCTCGCAGGAGTTGGACTCGTGTTCTTTCAGCGGTGTGACGCGAAGTGTGCATTCGTGAGTTGCGGTGTTGCTACTGGTCGTCCCATGTTTCTTGAAAACCTCATGCTCAACTTCATCATGTTGAAACACCCATGCATCCCGCAAAACGATCGCAAACCCATTTGAGTCGACTGTTTTGGGGTCCATCGCGGTCGCCCGAATCCCCATCCTCCGCGCCTCCGCCCAAACGCCCGAAACGCCTATTGAGGCCCTGGAAGCTGGATCGAGGCGTTTTGGATGCGGAGATTCACCTGGAGAAGGTCACGACTCCATCAGGGACTCTTGGACAGGTCCGGCCGGTCGTTCGGCAGTATACGGGTGAAGGCGTTGGAGCCAATGGCGCGTGGAGACGCGTGGAAAGGAGTGAGTGAAAGGTAGTGAAAGATGAAAGGTGATAAGACATCTCATCATATCTATTCAATTCTATCCATATCTCATCTCATCACATTGGTGAGTTTGGAGAATGATCATGCAATACCATGCAGTTACATCGCCGGCGTCAAGGGTCTCAAGCATGAACTGTGGAACTTACACATGTTCTCCAGGTTTTCATGTTAACATGGGTGCTGGCTGATTCGGGAGCTCACGGAAGGAAGGCACCTTTTGCCTCGTTTGCATTCTACCACCTGCAACCAGGGCTAATTATATGGTATAAGCAAATCATGTGCACCTCAGGCAGCGATCTTGTCCGGAGCAGACCTTTTTGTAACTAGAAGGGTTCCCCTCAACAAGTCATATTAGGGATTACCAGTGGTAGAGGTTGTCGATCCGAAGACCCCGACGTTGCTTGAAGATTAAACAAGGGAATCTGCTTTCAGAAGACATCCAAATAGGGGTGCCTCATGGGTGCCTCATGGGTGCCTCCCATCGGCACCCATCTGGGGTGGCCCAGCGGCATCGATGCCAAGGCAGCGTCGGACCAGCACGACCACCAGGGCTCGAATTGTGGAGAGGCGAGACGTGCGGCGAAGTGGGTGTTTCAACTCATGCCAAGATGGGCAGAGGTGAGTAGGGGATACGCACCGGGTGCATTTTCTGGGGGTGTCCCAGCGAGTCAGATCTTGTGGCCTCAGATGCTGGAAATGACACAGGCTTGAGAAGCTCTTTGATGTCAAGGATCCGTCGGTGAAGCTGGTGATGTCTCGAGACGCTGGGATTTGTCGGAGCGGAGTTCCAAGCAGGCCCATTGAGTCCAACACTACCTACTCGTATGTAGCATGTGGATGAATGAAGTCACCATAGTCACCCCATTTAGATGGTAAAACTGCAGTAAAACCATATGGCGATTGCCATCAACTGAATCTACATGAATCAACTGAATGTATGAAATGACCCACTGAATCAATCCCTGCGATCGGAACCGGTGAGGCGATGTGATAAAGCTATAGCCAATAGTATTCCACCGTCCCAAAGACGGGGCGACCTGGACGAAACATCTGACACGACGTGGATGGGGCACCCCCCGTGACGAAAAACTGGACGGTGTGACACCCGGAAGCGGGTGGTGCTTCGATAGGCTTCGATCGCCTGGTTGGGGTGGTGTTGGGGTGAAGGGTCTGCGCTTCCGACTGCTACGGTGGCGGAGGTGAGCGACCCAGCGGAGTCCTGTTCCATTCACCGATGTGGGGTGAAGGACGCCGATTTGAAGCTACTGTAGCTCCTTGCTTTTGGGTCCGGCCAGTGGTACCAACAGTTGAGAAGCCAATATGCCTGGCCGGTCTGCGGCGTTCGCTTTGCATCCCTTAGGATTTGGGCGCTGCCATGGACAAAGCCTCCCAGATCAAGTCCAAAACCAGCAAGCGGCAGACAGCCAGGTTCGAAAGTGCACTACACCCAGTCACTTGGGCTTTAGACCAGGTGGTTCAACTGCAAATATGTGCTGTTCAATTGTGCGGCTGCTCTAGGCCACTAGCAGTACATCATTCATGGTGCGAGCACATAAGCTACATTGGATTTGATGCCCGCATGGAGTCCTGCTGCAGCGGTTGAACATGGTTGAACCATTTTGAGCCCCACACACAGATTAGCTAAATGATGATACTGTAAATTGCGGTGCCCCACATGAAAAGAGCCTAGCCTACCAGTTCCAAATGATTTCACATGATTTCACACCATATCCTCCACCTGCACCACTTGCCAAGGAAGAATTGGATGAGGTCGGCCCGTTCCGAAGCTTTCCGTCGATGCGTTCGTTGGAACCCCTTCGGGGTGTCGTGTTCTGTTTTCCGGCTGAAGAGTTCCGTCGCCATGTACTCTGGAGGATTCGGGTTCATCTCACTCCTCACACCTGCCAGCGCAGCAAGCTTCGCTCCATCCCGTGCCCCCAAAGCCGGTGCCGAACTGGACCTTCGACCTACAAATCGAAATATACCCCATCCTCGTTTCTTTTGCCAAGTGGACGGCGGGGTCGGCAAGGTGAGCGAACGCACCAATATATGCAACGATATTAAAGCATCGGCACGGGGAAACTCATCTCTGCGGCCTCAGAAACCGACTTTTGCAGTTGACTTTGATCGAACAAGGCTGCAAGAGGACAGTGTTTGGCAGTTTGGCTTTATAGAATGTGTCCCTGTTCTGTAGGGAGAGCCGAAGAAATAGAACGTGGAACAACCTCACGATGGCCCATAGAAACTTGACTTGACAATTTGTCGCACACACACGCCAACCAAAAATACACGTTGCATGGAACACCCCAAAGCCATCAAGAAGGGGACTTGTATCAGGACTCTCTGATAGATGGTTTGACTGGGCCCGGGCCCCCTGCCCAGTATCACAGGTACTCTCCTGAAAAATCACGTAACCCTATAAAGTGTTTTTTTCTTGGGATTAGGTTAGTAGGAAAGGACTAACAGCACGCCCTCTAATGGCAACAGCATGGAGTTGCCCACTGCACGCCCGGCAACATGACTGCACGCCCAATCACGCCCACCCCAGGCCAGGTTAGCAGTGTTTCGGTCAATTCCCCAGGAAAAACACTGGAGAGGGCTTGGATATGTGATATAGTTGGGGTCCTCACTGCTAGGTATCCGTTATTTTTGGGGAGTGCACTTTTTAAAAGCAGGCTCCAATTCCAAGGGTTCCTTTTCTCACTGCGTCTCTTCAATGACGGTAAGGACTTGTCGTTCTTTGAAGAAGATCGATACATATCGATACCGAAGATCTACCACCCGCCCTACCAGTTTTCGCCCCATCCATGTGCAACAAGCTTCGGCCGCACGAAATCCATGTGCGTCTCACCATGCCACCCTCTGGCTCGTGGGATTTCGACGAGAGGTCATGGGTGAGCTGAAGCGCATACACGACAAAGCCATCGAGAAGACGCGCAAGACGGTCCATGCTCAGCCTGTGATCTCATGGCATGGCTTTGTGGAGCGGTCTGATCGGGATGGAGGGAAGGAGGGCATGTGGCACAGACAGGTATGAGTGTAGGCGAGTTTCGGGCACTGAGACAGACATATTCTCAGACAAAAAGAAATATATACCTGGAGTTGCGTTTGCCTGCTTTTTTTCAGCCATTTTGCAAATATGCCGCAATGACCAGGGAATATGGTCAAAGTTCAGCTTTATCCGTAATGACCAGAAAAAATGTCAGTCAAATGACTGAAATCGCTGGTTGTTTTGGTCATTTTTGACCCAAATATGGATACTACCCGAACAACGCCAAAAGAAACACAAAATAACCCAATAAACGCCCAACATATCCCAACATATATTTTGGCCTTTTCCAAGGAAATGACCACAAAAATCAGACATAACAGCAAACCACAATGACAAAAAAAAAAAACGGCCACGGCCGTACGACCAGGAAAATTCAGCCATTTGCAGTTTCAGGATAGTCTATAGGGGTACATTATGGTGTGTATATATATATATATATACACATTCTATTACATTCGATTCTTTCATTAAGGCCCATAGCCCGTCCAACTTCAAAGGCTTTTCTCCATGGAGGCACTGCCATTTAGTTACTCCAAGACCAAGGACACCGCCATGTCCTGACTATTGCTGTACTGTATTCCCATGCATGTGGAAAACACTCAGCTCATGGAACCACTCATTTGTGCTCATTTCCTTTCAAGCTCGGTGTTGTTCTTTGATGTTCTTTGCATTGCCGTATGAAATATATATATATATAGATATAGATATGTACAAATATATATATATAGAGAGAGATATAGATATAGATATAGAGATGTATGTAGCACCTTCTCGTTCTTAAGCGACATTTTGGCGCAAATCCTCACTTTGTCTCAGACCCACTGCTCTTCAGAGCCTCAGCGTTTTCGAACACACGCTCAAGAACTCCACGTGAGGAGTGCATGTTGCTGTCAGACCTCCCAAAGTTCACCCATGGGCCACTGGTGTGAGCCTCAGGAGCTGGCACATCAGATGGCTATAGCTAGTGTAGCATGGATCTGTGGGTCATCTTGGGGTTTTGTGGGCATGGTGATTGGTAGGATGGCCTAAGTCAGGATGGCCGAATGGCTTTCAGGCTGTCATTTGGGGGTTGAGGCCTTGAACCTCTTCATCGTGCAGCGAGAGTTGTTGGGGGACGAGATGCCGGCCAGCGGGACCTCTGTCGCGCTGCTGATGGCCTACGAGAAGCTTGGCACTACTTGTTTGACATCTGTGGAACGCCTCGGTCCTGTGCAGCGGCATTGTACGCATTCTTTCCGCCACATACCGATATACAGTATATATATATAGTATGCGTTCTACATCCTGAAAGGCAAGGCCTATAGCATAAGTATGCATGTCAGCAAGGTGATGATCATTTGCCAAATGAATCTGGAACCCCCAGGTCCCAACTATAGAGGCAGAGAACATGGAACATAAAACATGTGCACCTTTGGGCAGGTGGAGTTTAAGCTAAAGGGCCCACCGGCCCCAGGAAGAGCAAGAAGCCCAAAAGTCGATCCCAGCGTTGGGTGAGCGTCGTCACTGCACTCTCCACCGGTGCCATCATCATCAGCGGCTTGGGTCAAAAACTGCATCGGATCGCCGGTGGGCGTGGCGGTCGGCGTGGCGGGCCGGCTGTGGTTCGGAAAGAGTGAAAAGTTCAGGATGGGAGGGGGTTGGATGGATAGCCAGCTAGAGATGTGGGAGAACGGAGCTAGAAAGATTTCTTGGACATCCTCTGGGACAGAGCTGGTTATCAGGTATGATGGTGGTGAGTAAGGACAAGATAATTACACCCGTTAAAGGCAGGGCATGAATTTAGGTTGGAGGCCTTCGCTAGCCGCTAGTAGGTTGGAGGCCGTCGCTCTTATAGGTTGGAGGCCATCAGGCCGGAGGCCATCGCTAGTAGGTTGGAGGCTACCGCTAGCAAAGTAGGTTGGAGGCCACCGCTAGTAGTTGGAGGCCATCGCTAGTAGGTTGGAGGCCATCGCTAGTAGGTTGGAGGCCACCGCTAGTAGGTTGGAGGCCACCGCTAATAGGTTGGAGGCCATGTTAGAAACATAGAGCAAAGCGGCAAAGCTGTTAGAAACAATATGACCTCCACGGAGTCACTGGCTGTTGGTATGCTTCGTGGGCGATGGTTTCCGCGGTCTTCGCCGGTTGGAAGGGCCGGTGCTTCTCAGGCCGGCTGGATGAAAGGTGCATGCTGAACAGGTCTTTGAGGGCTTGTTTGGGAATGTTTGGGACAGCAATAGTTAGACACAGGTGGGAATCTGTTAGAGGTTGTGAACTGTCTTTGCATGTCTTGGACTAGACACTCGGTCCAACACAACAGTTCACCACCCCTCACTACCTCGGCACTCAGAGATATTGTCCCAAACATCCAGAATAGACCCAAAAGTCGTTCCAAGATCCTCGGCGCCTTTGTCCAAGTGCGTGGGTGGCTTGACACGTGGAAACCACATGACCCAAGCATGACCAAGCGTGCAGTAGTTCTTAGCTCTCCATGTGGCCCATCCCCAAATGGTTCTTCATCCCGAAAAAGATTCCCAAGACTCCGGCTTTCATGGGAGCTGGCGAGGCTTCATAATGATGGGAGTCGCCTTGGACACCGACCCAGAGCTTCAGATTTGGTTGGCCTTGGACACCATCTTTGCGATGATCTTCGTCGCGGAGGCGTGCGAGATCTGCGTAATTTTGACGTGTTTGATGGCGGAGCTCGGAGGTATGCAGCATTGAGCAAAAGCCGTTTGAACCAAAAGAAACACTTAATATAGTTAATTAGCTGCCGTAAATGGATGTAAATGGGTGAAGTCCACGAGTGCTCGTCAGTGGCTGTACCACGTCCGAGGTGGTTGTGAAATCGTATGCAACCTGGCAGAATCCTTTGTCGGGCAAGGTTGCGGACTGGCACCAACTGGGTGCCCTGTGGTAGTCCCTGTGGTGGATGTGGATGTGTTTACTCGGATCTCCATGGAAAGAAAATACAGTACATGATTCGATCAGGGAGGAGAAACAACGACATGTTCGATCAGGCGAAGCCGCCCGAGGTCTTGACACCCAAAGCGTACTTCTTCGGCCGGGATGGTCTTTGGAATTCTTTCGACGTGGGGCTCTCGCTAGCCTCTCGGCGTTTCCAGCTCGGGTCCATGGTCATGATGAAAAACATGGGAAGACATGGCTGGGTGCACTTCCATGGAACGTGAGTAGGGGCATCTAAGGAATTTATTACCTAGCTGAAGTGGTACATTCATGAGACCATTTCAGATGACATGCCCATTTATGAGACACACTTCATAACCGACATGGACGGTTCCGAACTACAGAATTTGAGGCCAACCTGCAACTGTAGGACCAGGTGGGGATGGGCTCTTCCCACCTCCAAATCCTGAGAGTTCGTCCAAATTGTTGGACAAGCGGACAAGTCGTTTCACTTGGTTGGCGTTCATCTCAGCAGCACAACCATGGCACGATGGGGCTCATGCACTGACTATACATATATTATATATATATATAATTGTTTATAGCTGGCTCAAGGTCTCGGCTCAAGGCCCTCAGGTATCCACCAGCCGCTTCTGGCACATCGCGACTAGTTCGAGAGGGTTCTGACCGAGCACGAGGGTGGCCTTTGCGAAGCTACTCGAACAAGCACTTCACTCATGGAGACCACCTGGAGAAGATCTACCTGGACCAGAGCATACCAATGCTGCAAAGGCTCTTCTTGCTCGAATTGGATTTGGGAAGATAAGATATGTGAAGGATATGTCTGTAGGAAGTGTGGCTTGGCTTGGAGACAACCCACACAGGGTTTCAGTCGAAGATCTCCTTCTCGATCTTTGGGGAGATTTGCACCTCGGCAGAAGCCTGTGACACCACCGCCAGGCTTAGGAGGAAATCGAAGTTCAAAGCTCAGGCAGTTGCACAAAGCCACGACTGACCTGCTCACTACTTCCTGGAGTTCTCTTGAGCCCAAGTTGCAATAACAGTTGGAGCAGCTTGGCATCAAGCCTGCCCCACCAAATTCAGAACCGGATTTGACTGATGTCCTCAAGGAGAATCTGGCTCAATTGCCCACGGCGGTCAAAGAGCTAGTGGAGCGCATCACCAAGCCCTCTCCGGAGACTGAGAAGGACATGGTCTTGAAGCTGAAATCACAGGTTTCCACTTTGAGAGATCTCTCTCATCGGAAACAGGTTCTTCAGAACAAGCTTGACACGGCCAAGAAGACCTACGGGGACATGTTAGAGGAAATGAAAGCCATGCAGTCCAAACTGGAGGCAGAACAGAATGCCCTGACTTCCACCAGTGCGGCATACATGGCCATCGTCAACACAAGCCTGCCGTCAGCAGATTTGCAAGGAGATTCGGCCATGGAGAACTCAGTACCTGATGCTGTAGCGGGATTCATCACCACCTTAGGTGTCAGCCTCACAGCGGACCAAAAGGCCCAGCTCAGTCAGATGCTGAAACGACCTCCTTCAGAATCTGGAGACGAAGAAAGCAAGCGCCGCAAAACAGATGAGAATCAGTCTTGCGGGTAACCACCTCAGAACACCAGCAGGCCCTTATGACAGACACATGGAATCACATGGGGAGGCTGAGTCACTTCAGCCATTTTGGGACTTCCAACTGAGTTGCAAGGGGACAGACAACTCACTTGGCACTTTTGCGGTTCCTGGCTCAAGCCGAGCCAAGGGTAGCCGGGGGGGGCTATGGACCTTGGCGCTTGGAGCCGTCCTTTTTCAAGCTGAAAGGGGGAAGCACTCATTCAGGCCTCAACCACAGTGCAGACCCTCTTGGGTCCTGCAAACCACGGGACCCCACAGGTCAAGCTGGCAAATCTCTTGATAGCAATCATGGAGGATGGAGATCAATTCATGCAAGATTCAAATTTGACGCCAGGGCAAAAGGCCCTATATGTCCTGTCAAGCAGGAACTTTGGATGTCCTGTCAAGCATATGAAGGCACTTGGGAACGGAGCAAAGGTCAGCAGCCCTTGACGGACCTCAAAAGAATGGAGAACGTCCTCCACAACCCCAGTTCAACAGCTTCAGAGGTTCCCTCCAATTGGCAGAGTCCATAAGCTTCCTGCCCACTGGACCAGTTTTTGGGAGGAGGATGGCCAACAGATCACTGGGCTGGGCTCAGACCTGGCTAGATGGGCCACGCAGACTGAGGAGTACCTCACACAGCTTCTGCATAATCCCACCACGGGCAGAGGCTCCAGGGTCAGTCTTTACCAAGCTCCTCTGGTTGATCAAGGACCACGAGTCGGTCACGACCTCCTCAACATGATGGACACCCTGCACACTCATGCCTCAGAGAACATGAGCCAAGATCTCTTCAAGGCCTTGCTTGGGCACTGGATTGAACACCCTGAGAACGAACCACTTGAGTTGCGGCGGATCATTGCTGAAGAAAAACAGCCAGCCCACAAAAAGCTCTTCTCCACCGCCAATGAAGAATATCAGCTCTGGCTGGAAAAAGCCCATGAGAAAGGCCTCCGGGGTCTCTTTCGAAGTCTACGCCAACGTGATGTTCCATGGCAAAGACCCTTCCAGAGTATGCCGGTGGAAGAACGGCAACGGGCCAGAGAAGATCAATGGGGATCCATTTGGCAACAAAGACATGATCCCAGACCCTTACGTCAATGGGACCTTCTTCATCAGGCGGCCATGGACCAGGCCCAGCAGCTGCCTCCCTTTCAACCCTATCAGTTGCAACAACTTCTGAGGAGGATGCCCAACAAGGCGGCAGGCCCGGATGGAATCTCTTAAGATTTCCTCAGGCACCTGCCATTCCCAGCAGTTGAAAGCTGGCAGAACTGCTCACCAACATGGAACGTGAAGGAGAGCTTGCCATTCAGCTGAGAGCCACCAACATCGTTCTCATTCCCAAGAACCACAAAGTTGAGAGACCCATTGCCTTGACAAGTTGCATTTACACGGTGTGGTGCCACAGCCGGAAAGCTGATCTCCAAAGATGGCAGTACTCGCTCGATGAACAACTTCCTTGGGATCAAGCTCGGCCAGGCAGGGATTGTCTGAGCATTGCCATTGGCAGGATGCTGCGTTCCGAGATTGCCAAACATCAAGGAATCCACACGGTCACTTGCCTAGCAGACCTCACATGCTTCTATGACCACGTGGATTTGGATGAGATCATCGAGCCGGCCAGAGAGCTAGCTTATCCTCCTTTGCACCTCAAGTTTGCATTGGATCTTTATCGGGGACCACGCACCATTCAGGCAGAGGGCATCAATGGGGACCCCAAACACTACGACAAAGGCATCTTACAGGGATGCCCTCAAGCGCCAGCCATCTCCAAGCTCATCCTTTTCAAGCCACTTCAAGCACTTGTTCAAGCTCACCCAGCGGTCTCTCTTCAGACCTGGTTTGATGATGTCAGCTTCGACATTCATAGCAGGGAAGCTGAGTTTGCAGCCAAGGAAGCTGTCAATGCCTTCAGAACACTCAAGTACCAGATGGAGCAAGCAGGATTGAAGTTGAACACTGACAAAACTGGCTTTCTCACCAGCACGAAAGAAGCAGCTCGAGCTTTGAAAGCCCTCCTGCAAGAAGGCGACCCAGAGCACTACGACGTTCTAAGTGATTTGGGCGTAGATGCAACAGCTGGCAGAAGGAGAAGGGTGACGCAGATCAAGAAACGCTTCCTCAAAGGAAGGGAAGAGCTGGAATTATGCACAGACTTCGAATCTCCCAGGGCATCCGCTATAGACTTCACAAAGGGGCTGTGCATCCAGTGATGACTTGGGGGGCGCAAGCAAACGGACTCGCTCCCCAAAGAAGGCAACAACTTCGAGTTCTGGCATGCAGTATTTGATATGCATCCAGGTCAACCAGATCCAGGTGATTCCATCATCCTTCAACATGTGCACATCATATGGAAGGTCTTTCATGGATTCAATGAGAGCAAGCAACATCTCTTCTGGACCAGCTGGAACACGGCCCTCGGCGCGCTCCAGAAAGCACGCTATCGATGGCAGGTGGTCTCAGGTCCGCTCCAAGCTCTTCAGGCTTATTTGATGGACCTTGATTTCGACGTTTCCAATGGGCAAAGATGGAAAAGAACAGGCTATGGAGGCATCCCGGACTGCATCCTCAGCTTGAATGATCCCTGGCCGCTGATGCACCACAAGCTCATCCAGGAATTTCGGTGGCAACGCCTCCTCCGACTCACGAGGTATGATGGTTGCCATGACCTGGAAAGGCCGTTAGATTGGATGATCAGTCTGCACATCCAGAGAACCACCAGCGAAGCCATCGCAACTGGCCTCAGATGGTGTGGAACTCACCTTCATCCACCTGTTATGGCAGTGCTCCTTCTGGAAAGGGAGAGTGAAAGATCTTTCGACAGAATGGGCCAGTCGACTCGAAGCAGGCACAGATCCGGAGCTATGGCAACGTGGCTTTGTCCAAAGCATCTTCTATGAGCCGGAGGAAGGACACTCCACCTTGGAGGGCACTGGGTTGTGGAAAGATCTTGGCCAACTGAAGTTACACAAGGGCTACATTTGCTCGATTGCCACCGCGCCCACATGTGGTGACAAAAGGCACAAGCGCATGGCTTTTGCGGTCTGCATTCACCAGACCTCCAACCGACAGCAAGTCGGCTCCATCACAGGGATATGCCCAGGGCCAGCCACCAAGAAGCGGGCCATCTTCTATGCCATGAAGCAGTTGGCTTTGCACGTGGTCGAGAAAACGCCGGTTGGGCTCTATGATGTGGGGGCTTGGAAAAGCTGGAAGCCGCACGTAGCTTTTGAACAATTTCCTGATCTCTTCACTGGCCTGGAGTTCGAGGACTTTGATCATGTATGGCCCTTGCTTTTCTCCGTCAAAGAGCTCGACCAAGATGAGACGCGGAGAATCACACAGCAAGACACCCAGAAGCTGGCAAATGCAACAGGCAAGCTCTTTGCCCCCTCCGAGGTTTTGGATCTGCAATCTCATGTCGATGATGATGCTCATGAGATTTTGCTCAGTGCAGGCGAGAGGATGAGCATTTTGCTCAAGGACAAGAGTCACTTCCTGCACAGGAAAGAAGAGAGCATTCAATCAAAGATACCCGTCATCCAACAGAAGAGGGAGCTCCTTCAAGAGTTGCTGACCAAACCTTCCAGCGCGGGCCATGTTTGGGAGGTCATTCAATGCAAGCAATGCAAGTTGAGGTACCATTGCAAAAGCCTTCTTGCAGAGCTGAAAGAGGCTGCCGACAAGCCATGTCAGGAAGAAGCCAAGCCAGCTCCTCCCAAGCAGACAAGAATGGAAATGATCCATGCCTTGGTGGCTTCACAAACGGGTCCACAGGAGGGAGTCCACCACCTTCAGTTGGCTCCGCTGCACGGTTTGCAAGAGCTACATTTTAGCTCGGACCAATGAGGAAGCCTTTTCGCGATTTGTGGGCGAGCCTTGCTACAATGGGCCGCTAGAGCCACGCTTATCTGTGGCTGGGACACGTCTCCCACACAATGGTGCGCGTGGGACAGAACACCGAATGCACCCGGTGCCATGCTCGCACCCGACTTCAAGATGGACAAGTTCAGTTGACCTCCAGGTTGCGAGCACGATGTGTGTTCATCAAGAACCGAGATTTGCAACAAATGTTCGCTTAGCAACTTTGCAGACACAAAAAGGCGTGCAAAAAAAATTGTTTATAGCTGTTTCAAGTGTTCATGCGTGCCCTACTGCCCTACTGTCGGTGCCATGACATAGGCGCCAGATGGTGCCATGACGCCCTCAAGTCACACACGAACACGCACAGGTATATATAAACATATATATATATATACATATGTACTCATATATATGACTTTAATAACGTTTTATGCTTGTACACGCAGTGCTTTCAGATGCTTGCAGCCTAGATGACTAAAACTCACAAGTTTCCCCTATTTGTTGGATCTTCATGTCAGGGGCTTGCTCGACTCTGAAACTGCCCGCTTCACCCGAGCAGCTCTGAGCTGCGGTGGTGGACGACCTGGGCTCCCCCACGCGTGCCTGGCTCGTCGGCGCGTTTGAGAGGTGGCAGTGGCCGAAATCGTGATCAACATCATCTTCACCAGTGCCGGGGCACAAGCGAAGCTTGGAAAGCGCTATTTCAAGCAAACCAGGGACATGGCGACAGTGGCAATACTAAGCAGAGAAAGCAGCTTGCTGCGTTTGAGCAGTATTGAGCTGATGAGGCACAGTTGGTCTGAACACTTGGTGACTTGGTGGTGTGTTTTCTAGGGCACGCCAAAAGAGGCCCCCTCTTTTGAGGGGGACCTGAGCACATCTGACCACCATCCCCACAACCTTGGGAAGACCATGGCTCGGCCCGGCCGACGTTCTATCCCCAGGAAGGCCGCGCTGGTCTTGCGCGGCTTGCGCTTGGCCCGTATGGCCCGGCTGGCGAAGTTGATGCTTGGCCGAAGTGACGGTCAGTGGATCCTACCCAGTCCCTGGATCAGCCTGAAATAGCCCAAAGGTCATTGCATCTTCAATGTGTTTGTTCAGTTTTGGGATGCTATTCTATCCCTAACAATCGATGAAACTGGCCTATTGACCTGACCTACATTGGGCATGTGATCTATGTATGGTCCATACAGGCAAATATTCCAGTTCCATGGATGGTCTGGGCTATGACCGGCATGATTCTGCCACCTCGAATGATTAGTGGAATAATGTTGAAGGAGGAGACGCACATATTGCACATATAAATTAAATATGTATAGAATACGGTAGACGTGGTAATAGTTTTTCCTCGGAAGTTGGAAGACAATCAACCTTCTTGACCTCCGAGAAGGGTCAGTTGGCATGCGTCGAATTCCAGGTGGTTTGGATTAGGTATGCTTGGTCAGAATGGTTGCAGGTCACATACGTACGCGCAGATCCTGGCTTGGTGAACACTGATACGCTCCCCAAATCAGACCCAGCCATTGGACTTCGTTTGGGTCGAAGTCCCGTCCCAATCGTCGGGCCTGGGAATCGTCGGCGACCGTGGAGGTTGGTGATTGGTCGACCGTGACCACACATCGACCGTCACAGGGTGATCCACACATCGGCAGGGAACGGCCGCGTCGCAGGGTGGTTTTGCCTGAAAGCCCGCCCCAGGATCCGAATGCCATTGCTGTCCGAGCTGGCCAATCTGATTTCAGGCGCTAAGTGGTTGACGGGCGAGTCTTCCACTGACGGGGGTTCTTGGGGTGCGAAGGCTCTGGTTTTTGACAGTCGAAGTCCAAGTGGTGCCAGCATCCAACCAACAATGAGAAACGGATGATTGAATGCAAGTTCCGTGACCAATTCAACTGCATGTGAATGCTGGGTACTTGAGGATCATGAGGCAACAACTGCTCTCCACCAGTTATATACTTGATGGAGAATCCCAAGCAAATCATAGTTAGTCATGGGCCATGGATTTCAGATATTAAGTCTTTGCACATGTAGCGGCAAGATATTGGTCCTCCCAATAACTGTCAATCGACAATATTTTTTGTTTCAGCTCACCTCACAGTCACCAGAAAGGCTCTCAGAAGGTGCAAACAGGACCACCAGCAGAGAGCCACGTTAGACCGATGTTTCCACGGCCCGGGAGGGTCCCAAGCTCATCCATGAACCTACCTCAGTGGAGCATCACAAGAGCATTGGAGGAAGAAAGAACACTGAAAACAGCTGGAACCACGAGGATTGCACGAGACAACATACTTTATATAGCGGGCTGGGCCCTCTAGCCGGTGACTTCGTTATAGTGATTCTGAGGGTGGGGACATTTGGGCTTTAGGGGGATGTTTCGATGTGGAGGGCCTCCGTGCCCACAACCACAGCCTATGAATGTTGCTTTGCCGTCCTAAGGTTTTGTTCTCAGCGTCATGGCCTCAGCCTTTCTGTACGGTATGTTAAGAGGCCTTGTTCATTTTCATTGATGTAAAATGACACGAGTCAGCTCATATAGGGTCAGTTTGTAGGCAATCATTGGCAATGATGTGCATGCAAGCAGGGTGAAGCATGCCCAATTCTGACGATGACGGCTCATTTCTTAAAACAGTCCTTGCGGCTGGATATCAGCAACCAGGCATGATTAGGCATGACAACAAACCAAACCTTTTTATACCTAAGCTATAGCATTTGGTGGCTTGTCAAGAGCCATGATCCATCCACACTTCTTGTTAGAGCTTGTTCCTTCAGGGGCAAGAGCCAGTATTTGCAGCCGTGATTTCCTAAGGTTCGCTCCCTTTTCTGGGTGATGATCTTCCTTACTCTGATTATTTACGCCTCTGGGCGCAGATAGCTGGGCGGTTGGGCGGCAAGTTCTGGCATTGCCCACATGGCCCACGGCTTGAAGGACTCTTTTTGTTCCATCTGAGTCCTCTTTGATCGACCAAATCCCTGCCATCCTGAACCCTGACAGTGTCTTTGACCACTTTTGAGACGGAATGAATGAAGAATGAACCAATTGAACCCCCCCTTTTTGATCGATTTCCGGACATGGCTTCTCTAAGGTTCCGGGAAAAAGAACACCCCCCAACGACCTGGGGTCGGGGTCATTTTCGGCATCGCCATTCAGGTCATTGCGCTCGGCTTTCGGGCCGGGGTTCAGACCTTTTCGGACCAGGTGCAGAACGATTGCACCCGGGCCCAACGAACGCCCGTGGTTTTCGGGCGGACCCAGTCGAGACCGACGGCTGGCATCCGGAACCGGGCGTCCCGTGGCCGCTGTTGATCACTTTTTGCCGGGGATATCGGTATCAAAGTGGTCTCACTGTATCGCTCAAAGACCAAGATGAGTGACCAGTCTCATGTTCCAGTCGTCGTGCCCTGTCCCGCGTTCGGGGTGCCTACTTGGGAAGTTCCACCATAATTAGTCTGAGAGTCTATGGATGGTTGTGGTGTAACAACCTATGGGAACTTGCGGCCCCTGAGTGGCATTGCCATTTTTTGCCAATAGACAGAACACAAACAAGAAAGCACAGTGTAAAGGAAAATTGCCCAGCATGATGGCCTACAATTTGTTTGTGAATGTGTCTTTGTTGCTCTATTTTACTGCATTTGATTCTCGCACCCTAAAAAGGACACCAAAGTTTTGGGGGTTGTTGACCTTTGGACCTCCTCTGAGGCAGCTACAAAAGCAACGTTTTTGGAGATTATTACGACTTGAGCCCTGAGTTGAACGATGAACTCCCTGCTGGTTGCCGCTGGGCCCAACTTCCTTCGATGTACGGCGATGAGTGGCATATCCTTCAGCGTGGCATATCCTTCAGGGGGTCCGGGAAGCTAGCTGGACAATTGTAAATCAGCATTGCTTGTGAGACAGAGTGTGAGCATGTGTGAGCAACACAGTTCCACAAAGATCCATAAAACTTGTTTTGTAGTCCTCAATCCATCGGGCACTTCAATATACAGCCAAGCCAGGCACATTCACGTCCGATTCATTTCCCAATCGGTGCAGTTTCTTGTTTGCCACTGTCCTTCGAGGAATTTGTCCCTTACTTTAGACCATGGTTTATGTTGGGGCAGCTGTAGCATTTGCCACTCAATCCCTGCTTTCCTTTGCTTCCCTACCAGACAACTAGGAGTTAGGACCACTTTGGCCGTTCTGATTGATCTTGGAATCTTGGAATTTAATGGAACTTACATCCTGGTCTCGCGCTGGCCAAAGCATACAGCAAGATGATGCAAGATGTAGATCAAGTGTCGAATGCATTCAGGCAAGCTGCACTACATGTACGGCCTGGAGTTCTGCTCTTCCGTCATGGGTTGCATGTTCTCCATTTTCCGCTGCATGATCAGCGAGTGCACTACCAAAGGCCAGATGTGAGTCGACATGACTTGCTTTGAGATGCTATGGGGTCTTCGTTTCAATCGCATCTTGTAACTATGTTGTTTTACTACTATGGGAGTGGCTAGGGGCTCCAAAATGACTAATGAAGGGTGAAAGAAAGGGCAATCCCAACGTTTGAAAAATGTATGTGTATATTTACACATACAGAGCAACAAAAAAGACAACAACACGGGTCAACACCAAAGTGCTCAATCTTTTGGCAGCTTGACCTCCCTGGTTGAATATGTTGCTTCTTCGGGTGGGTGTGGGTGGGTCGGGTCTTCTCTCCACCCTTGAAAAAGATACCGTATGTCTCCTGTCAGCGATGCAGGTGGCCGTTCGTTGACCATGGTGTTTAGCGATGGCATTGGACTGGAATTTGATGCGTTCTATGCCATTTCGATGGTGGCGGCTCCTCGGTTCTATCTTCGAGCTGTCACAGCTGGACTTCTCCAGCGCTGTCCTGGCGCTTTTGGCCAGCCTATCAGTTGTGGAAGGTTTGTGAGTTAGGCAGCCAGACAACTGGGATATATATATATATTATATATAGATGTGCTGCGCACACCGATATTGACAGATCCCTCATTTTCCAGTTCTTGCCTAAATTAGACATTACTTAGTTGTCGGTACAAGCAAGATAAGAGAGTATTTTTGGTCAGACCCTAGCAGTCTGGACTGCTAGAGCAGAGGGACCCTACACCTGCATGTCAATCACGTTGTCCTCATGTCATCAGGTCATTTTTGGCCTCTTCAACATCATTACGGCCATTTTCGTCGAAGCGACCTTGAGCCTCGGTGCGGGAGGATGAAGCCTAGCCTTTGCGGTCGTCAGCAGGGCGAAGCGAAGCGCGTGTGTCTCAGATCCCGCTCGCCCGATCCGAGCGTTTGGAGGACCAGGTGAACTTGCAAATGGAGCAAGTTGAATCACCCGAAGGTGACGGCGTAAATTGTGCTTAATGTGACTGCATGGTGCCTCAAGGAAATACATCATGATGCAACAATTGTGTTTTTTGACAAGACCTTCCACCAACGCAGGAATTCAATCTTAAGATTTTGTACGCCAACAAAGGGAAGCAGCCTGTTTGACTTTTTTTGGTTCCCCTGCACACTTTGTTGATCCATCTCCATTTCGCGGGCGCGGGGGTTGGGGGAAAAATCTGATTGGGAATCACAACATGTTACACCATACAGCCATGGGCCATCACGGCCCCTTTGGTGCATCGGCCACAGAATGTGCCAGGAATGGTTTGAAAGAGAACGAGGTCCAACGAAGATATGCGAAAGCTTACGAATCGAGCTACATGACGGAACAACTTGCGAAGCTTGTCGCTCGGCAAGCTCGGTGGCCAAAACATGTCAGTCTGTTGATGGCTCAGACATCCAAAGAAATGCACATATTGTAATTGTATAGTTACAGTAGGTATATGCACATGGATGTATACAAACAACAGTAATAGGTTCACACAATTTTTCATTGAACAGTGTCAGGTGGTCCTCATCATCTTGGTTGGTGCAAGGTTCAATTTGTTCCTTCCACACTGCTTGCCCATGTAATTATTGCAATTCCATATATTCATATATGTATACAAGCAGTGTACTTATGGCATCTTTGATGCTTATGGAATGCTTATGGGTTGCCCTCTGACAAACAGGTTTTGTTCTCAGAGGCTGACGTTCCTTATTTGAATGATGAGGTGATGACGGTGTCCAGCCAAGTGCAAAAGCTTCGGAGCAGGAGAACGCTGGGCCAGTGCACTGGCCTAGACATCAGCTGTGATCCAGGTGTCAGTCCCAGGAAAAGAGCTGACAGTATGGAGGAAATGAGGTGGAGTTGAGGCAGCACCTACAAAAAAGTTGCAGCACCTACAGCTCGAAAGTAACCTTTGGGGAAGGGCCATAGTGAGACACGCAAGTGTGATTTCCTTGTAAAGTGTCTTGGAAAGCTGTCATGATCAATGATAGCTGTTTCCACTCTGAGGATGGCAAAGGATACCAACCCTACAGCGAGAAAGTGTATTTTTGGGGGGGTGTCCCTGAAAAGCAACAATCTGAAGGTCATCAAATAATTACATCATGTGGTGGGGATGGCTTCTATTGATCCTCATGCCAGGACAGATGGCATGGCGCTGCTGTCCGATACCTTCCAAAAGGGTTTGACCAAAGGTATGAGGCTCTGGAAGGGGTGGGTGCCGCAGGTTTGGCACTCCTTCTTTGTGTCGACCCCACCAACATCCAAGCGAGCCGCCTAGCCAGTCACAGGCAACCAGCCAGCGGACTTCTTGTCCTCCCCTCCCCATCGATATTCTTCGCCTTAGATTGTCGAGTGTTGGTCATTCACACCGAGTCAACACTGTCACACAGACTGTGTTTGGTCGCATGGAAGGCTCCAAACAGCCTGTCCAAGCTTTTTGGAGTGCAAAAGCAGGATATGAAAATAGCAATCAAGTTTTCTAAAATTAAGTTAATGGTACTTAATGTAGGATTCCACACTGCACTTGTCGCACAAGTGATCAACATAATATATCAACATCAAATTTGCTGGAGTACTTGCCTAGCTTGCTTGGATCCCAGCTGTTTCCATGAGACCCCTTGACAAAACATGCTGCCAGCATGGGGAATGATGCACCTGCGCCTTCGAATGCTTTGCAGAAGGGTGAGATCTACTTGAGCGACTCGTCCGAAAGGCGGAATGAGCGACTTCCGGGTGTCTAGGATGTTCTTGAAGCTCACAGCGCACCCAGCTGGATGGTGCTGTAGCTAAACTACATCCTCAGGATTGTTCTATTGTGGGTGTACTTTGAATACAATGTGCCCTAGGTTCTATCAAAATGAAATTTGCAACCCCCTCATCCATGTGGCCTAAAGTCCCTAATGAGTTGAGTTGCTTATTTCCTAAAAGGGACACTCCGTCTGCAAACTTTCAAGTCATGACATGGTTGCCGTGCAAGTATGTCATTATATTTAAACAACGGCAGACATCCTCCGCTGGCATTGGTGGTCATTGCTGTGTTTCTTTTTGGGTGAAACCGATGGAGATGGGTCCACTTCCTGCTTAGCCTGCTTGCTTCAAACCCACGGTCAGGGCGAAGCATATGGGTCCACGGTCAGGGTCATCTTTCTGGATGAGTTTGTTCTCCTTGGATCACCATATTGGGTCTTTGACCATTTTACTGTAGAAGCGGCCTATCATGGTCCCCTGGTAATGGGAATCGTGCAACCTACCAGCTCCTATCTGAGGTGAGGAGGAGTTCAACCAGCTTGTGAGACATCCGGATGCAGCTTGGCTTTTTGCGTCATGGCTGGTGAGCCTTCGAAACTCACAGAGAAGGGATCCCAGTTGGCTTTGCACGTGGACTCTTCGATGCAGTTGGTGACCAACAAGCTTCCAGAGATTCACCCTGGAAACCACCTCAGCCCTCAGCCTCATTTGTGACGTCCTCAGCCGTCCACATTCTGTGGCAGTTGAACAACGACCTTCGAGGTCAGATTGATTCTGAATGACTTGGACGTGTGGCTGGGCAGCATAAAGGTATTGCCCAACAACGGGCCCGCGAAAGAACATCAGAGCCGAACAACCGAAGGTTGTGTTTGGCCATGGTCTCGACGCTCAAGGCTTTGCATCAAGTTGTGCCACCCGACTAACTAGGAACTTTTTGAGATGCACTTTTCAAGCGCCTTCAATGAGAAGTCTGATGCGCCTGACCGGTGTGGAGAACATGGGAGAACAATATGTTCACAGATGTGATTCTTCCAGTTGAAATGACGTGATGACCTACTAATCTTCTTCTTGGCGCAAGCAAAGTGATATTAATATTAATATCCAAATGACATTGCACTTGGGTGCATGTGAGAGATCAAGAAGTTCAAAGCCCGACACATGGCCGCTTTGAGGGTCCGAAGGTGTTTGAACATCCCGCCAAGCTGGTTTAGAGGATGCTTCATGTGAAGAAGTCGCATGCGGTTGCGGGTTAGTGGCAATGTCGCAATGTTTGCGATCGCAGCTTTCCCCACAACTGGTTTCACCGTCAGCATAGTAGACATAAATTAGAATCCTAATTATGCGGCATGTGTTTTGTCACATTAATTATATACAGCAGTTTTAGAGTTTCTGATTGGATGACGATGGAGAAAGGGAGAGGGAGACTGGGGTGGGGGGTGATCTATTTACTTGTTTTTCTATTTACTTGATATTATATGATTGTTTGTTTGTTTATTTATCTACCGATTTCTTTATGTATATATATATATATTTATACGTGTGTGCCAGAGCTTGCTGGAAAACCCACTCGCTGAACCCAGGAATGTTGAGCCACGACCAGGAATCTTCGAAGCCTTCAATACCGATCTTTGGTTGCGTTCTTTGGGTGTGTTTGTGTACTGTCGAGCGAGTGCAAGTGAGTGGACCACAAAGAATGTATGCCTCGATTTGGTTTCTGGGTGGATTCTTTGCCCTTATTCGTGGCATTGAGTGTGGTTCCTACGCCAACTCTCTTCCGTCCTATCAGATACTCTAGAGACAACAAATTGTAGCTACATGCCGGAGCGATCGGACGCTACGATCGGGGCTCCTGACTTGGACTGCTCGGAGCGATCGAACGGAGCACGAACGGAGCGATCGAACGCTGCATCGCGTAGCGAGCGCCGGACCATAGACTCGTAGGGGCGATTTGGCCCAGCAGAAACTCACCAGATCCCCGGAGTTCACCAGATCTCCAGTGTGGGATCCAAACGCGGTGGGTTCTGATTTTCACGGTGAGTTTGGCTCGAGATGGTACTTTCGGTTGTAAATCCTTTCGGCCAGGCTGATTTTGAGAAAGCCTTGAGTTTTCCTTACACCATCTCCTTTCGCTCCTTTAATGTCGACGTAGGATTGATCACCCCCCCCTTCAAGGTCAACAAGGTTAACAATGATTGAGATTGGAGGTGTTGGAGACCAGATCCCCCTAATTAAGGTGATGACCTGATGATGGTTGATGGGGTTTTGTGTGAACCATGGAGCCTGTGTGAGGGGTACCCTTTGTGAGGTTGAACACCTGAAGAGTTCAATAGAGTTTTAGTACAGTAAGGGAACATTACATAATTTTGTTAGAGAGTTCTTATGGCTCGTGGAACAAAGGTTGCTTGATAGAACATTGGCAGCTAATTCCATTTTCTGGGGGCAGGTGGTCTAGATTAATAGGGGCAGGTTTATGCCAAGAAATATTGTTGTGGACATATAGGTTTTAAAATTGGCTATTGTTTGGGGCTCGAGATGGGCTTGATATGGCTTGATTAATACTGGGAGGTTACTTACTGCTATGTCAACATTCCCCTCATTTGTAACAGACCATGGACCATGGATTTGCGGGAGGTCATCGGGGGTATGGGATTGAGGGCGCAATATAGTAGTGTATAATTTTCATCAATGAACCACCTCCACCATCGGTCGGCTTGTGGGTTCTAGTCATGTTTGATCATATCCACTCCATCCATTCATGCTCTGCACCTAGATCCGAACAAAACCAACCGAGCTCTCGCCACCACCCAAGGAAGAAGATGGAACGGTATCTTTGTCTGAGCTGGTGTCCGGCCCCCAGCAATTTGCTCCTCCTTCCTTTCCTTTTGGCCTCCTGACAAGGAGCTCACGCGGCAAAACACATCGACATTTGTTGGAGCACGGCAGGCAACGCCTTCATTCTCGGCAGGTCGGGTTTGATGAGACTTCGTGGAGAGCTTCACAAGGTGGACATGGTCATCGCACAAATGAGCCTGGACAATGTTGTGAAACTTGTTTGCGATTGTGTGTGAGCTGTTCAGTGTAGCATCCGTCGGATTAACAAGTTATGTACAGTTACTGCCACTGGTTGCCAGGCAGTTCTGTTGGAGCAGACCAAGTGGGTGTGGCCCCAAAGGTCAGATAAGTATTGCCCGAACCTGCTAGTGTTGATTGTGTTTCTTCTTTTGCATGGGTTTTTTGGGTGGCACCATGCTTGCCTGATTGGGTCACAGCCGATGGTCACTGCTGAAGCAGTCAACTCTGCAGAACTGCACCAAGGAAGCAGGTCATGGCGGCTTGGCAGAGCAGTATGGCCCGGTGTTGCGAGCTCTTCCCACCCACACCCCGGTAGGAACAGGAGATGACAGCCATTGGAATTGGATGCCAATGATAGCTCACAGCTGGGAAGATTGGGAAGACACCATGTATTTAAGATCAACCATCCAGCATCTTTGTTTCGTTTTTTTTTTCCATGTTGGGTCGCCAGGATGTCAAGAAGGTCCAAGCTGAGCTGATGGCCAGACGAAAGGTCACTGTCGTGCCCCGGGCTAAAATCAAAAAAACCGACAAGGCGCCCCCAAAGGCTGTGGTGGCCCCATGAGACCGGCCGGCGAACAGGTCAAAACCGGCGAACAGAACATGTTGGTTGACCAGCGGCAATGAACAGAATAGACGACCTACACGAGGTCAACCTACCAGGGATTTGGGATCTGTGGTTTTGACCTAGAGTCCTAGAGCCGAATGGGCCACTCGGCCGCGGCTTCAAAACTGCTGAACTTCAGCTTTTGTCTCCCGTCTTGGCTGGCGGTTCGTTGTTCTGGTGGCTTTCCCACAACTGGGTGATTCAGAGGTGTACCTTGGGTCAACTCCGATTCACGGGAACAGTCAGTCCAGGATCCATAATCAGCGCACATATACAAATACCAAAAAGCACATCCACTGTTCCTGTGAATGAGGAGATGCTCAAGGTAAACCCTTCGAAGTTCCTTCCGTTCCCCCTATCACACCCGCCAAGCCGCCCACCGCGTTTTTTCACGCGCGGACGTCTGCGAGAACGCAGATCTCAGTCTCACCCAGTCCCATCGGAGTTTCCAGTCAGTAAGGTCAGGGAGCCCCAAAGAAAAGGCACTTCGACGATGATCACGCATGGCTTTAGACATCATTCAGGTCCTCAATGGATCTCTGTGTTCTTCGGATAGTGGTTCTACATGCAGTGCTCAGGGTCCCATGACATGCCTGGAGGAACTGCGAAGCAGTTGTAATTCTTCTCTAGTTGGTGACCTAACCGTTCGTCCCTGCTTTCGGAGTCAAAGGTCTGGCGCCGAGTTTCGGGCGTTGCTCGCCAGCATCGGACAATCTCTCACCTGTAGCTAGAGCATTGTCGGAAGAAAACTGATCCAAAAAGCACCTTGCACAGTGGAAACCACACCAGGAACCAGATATCCGCTTCTGTGTTACTTTTAGAAGCGGTCTAGTTATCCGCTTTGCTAGGGACCTGGCGCGACCTCGATGAGGTATGGGGCGTCGCTAGTTGACACATGGCCGCCTAACCTCTAGGCCACCATGTGCCGTTCGACTTCGTCGACCGCGTGTGAATAAAATAGAAGCGGTCTAGTTAATTACTATAGACTATCCTTGTCTCATTACCATGGAGCCTCGTTTTATTCTTGATGCGCTTCACCTTTGGGTCCAAACAAAATCCTGCACCTTTGTGGTTTGATTCTGCAAGGCCGTTTGCCACTGAGGAACCAACGCGCACACGGAAGAAGAATGGGCTTTGTAGGGCGACAGCTCTCACATCCGCTGATGGGCTCAGCCGAGTCGGAGAGTGAGGTCAAACAAATCGATAGACAAATCTGGGTATGAAGAAACACATCCTGCAATACAATGCACTTATACAGAATTATGCAGAACAAAAACATGATGGACCGATGCCAAATACACAGAGGAATACCAGATGGAATACCCCAGGAAGGCAATCCGGACATTTCGATGCCAAGTCACGCAGATGTTGCACTTTCGATTCTGACCTTGGAAGGTGAAGTTGTGAAATTCCGATGTATTTCTCAAGGGACGTCGTTGCCGAAATTGGGGTGTCATCTCATGGAGTGATGGCGTCGAGAGTCCGTGAGCTCATTGAGCAACTCTTAGTGGAGTATGTGCCTGGGCATGCCTGGGTGATGGATTTGGGAGGAATCAACGGAGCTTTAACATCAGGCATGGCTGCTGCAAAGCTTCTTTTTTGGGGGGGTGAAGTGTGGAGTGTAGATATGAAGCAAGGACAGTATGGATGGGGTCTTAGGGCGCACACGGTGGCACACAGGCATTGCGGCATTACAATGGTTTCAGTGGAGGATTGTAGGTGAAAGCATGGGAAAGAACATCCTGCCCTGAAACTTGGGAACGACGAATTCCCCACAGATGAGCACGGAGGATATGCCCCTGAAACCTTGTTGTTTTCCTCCGGCTCTCACTGACCCGCTTGCTTCGAGTAGCTCCCATCTAGCTGAACAGGGAAGATTTGAGACATATCTTTTGGCTGTTCATGGCGCTTGTTTCTCCCCGTCTCCGGTGAAAGCAGAGGGGTGGCAAAAGGATAGTGTGTGTGTGCCCACACCTGTACCCAAGGTTTGTCGCTTGCTCCACCCTACACCGTTTGCATTCTTGACGTTTGTTTGTCCATGTTAATATGCAGGGGGACCATCCATGTGCTGTGAGCGATGGTCCAACGAAGCGGCCACAGCATATGCGGATATCTGGCCTGATCAGCCAGACGTACCTGCCAAGATTGTTGGTTGAACTGTCTGGCTTGTATTTAGTATAGGTGAATAGTTCATTTGAGAAAAATATGGCTAAGGCACTCGGACACCATAGTCCTTCTTCTGACAAGGCCCACCAATGAATAAATCCATAACTTTTCTATTTTTTTCCTTCCTCGAGGGAAGCGGGTGGTGGGAGTGGGGGCGGCTGCAGTGGCGCGGAGCGCAGCCGCCAGCTGCCATCGCCTGCTGGCGAAGGTGGGGACGGCATGTTTGTGGAAGTGTGGTGGGTGGGGGGGCGCCAGTTCATTGGCATGTCACACTGCGACCACGTGTTTGTTTGGAACATTTGGCTCAACAGAACCGGTCATGGAGGAAACCAAAGGGCGGGTGACTGTGCACGTCAAGCACCGTGAAGAGTGACTGGGCTTCAATGGGTGGTTGGCATGTCCATTCAATGGTCGTCGTTAAGACATAAGATGTCATTAACAGTGGTGCAGCTGAGGATTGTGAAGGCACATGCCAATGACCTCTACTGCTGGAAGTATCCACTATATGTGCACAGCATCTACGAGTCAGTGCAACTTAGCTTTCATGGTTCATGTTTTTAAAGGCAGTCAGTGTCGTATTCAATAATATTAAAGTCTTCGTGCAGTGGGTTCTGAGGAAATTTGTCCTCAAGCCACCTGAAGCTCGAGAAGCTAGGCAGCAGGTGGAAACATCAAGATCAAGAAGTCCAACGAGCCGGTATGATGAGAACGTGTGTGACACGAAGAGTGCTTTGGCTCATGTCTAATTGTGATGGAAGTTCAGCTCTAAAGGGTACAAATTTAACCCATCCTTTAAACAACTCAGGCCAAGCAGCTGTGGATGAACTGCACTTCCCACAAAGCCCACTTGGCACCATGGTGGAGGTCGCCTCAGCACCTTGGATGTCATGTCATGAGAGATGTGGAAACCACCAATCATGTGGTGATGGCCTGCCAGCTAACACCAAGTCTTCCACTTCCTATGACATTGAGCCGGACCAAGCACAATGCATGGCAGCTGAAGCCATCCGGAAGGTTATCCAGCTGAATTAAATTAAGTAGTGCCACATTCATTTTCCAGCACTATGCAACATAGATGATGTTTTAAAATCAGATGTGACAATTGTATTCTCTTCGGTTTGGGCTGTATCTTTTTTGACTCAGGTCAGAGAGTTTCTCAACCGCTCTAATAATTCCATGAGCCCTCTCCAACAAGCATTGTATGTGGATGACTTGGTTCACAACGCAGTCTTGGCATCTAAGCTTCTTGAATCGTGGACGCATGCAGGAAAAGATTAAATTTCAGTCAGTGTTGTCAGATGTTTTAGTCAAACCGACGTCCAACTCAGGATGTTATGGAGCCTGGACCTGGAGAGACTGGAGAGAAACCGGATGATGAGGAGCCGATTAGCTTGTGACCGGATGATGACCACCGGATGACGATGAGAAACCGGAGTTTGTGACTGGTTAGTGTCCGATTTCGTTCATAAGCTTGCTTCAGGCCACCTCGAAGGGTAAACCTCATGAACCCTGTCGTGACACACCATCTGATCCTTGGACAAACTTACAGCTGGCTGGATGTCAGGAAGCAAGTGAACAATTGAACAAACCTTGCACAAGTTGAACAATTGAAGCAGCTAGATCTGATCTGCCTGCTCAGGCACAAGCTGCACCACATCATGATGATGGAGAAAGCTAAGACGGATTCCTGGACAGAGGAGGTGTCATCCCATTTGTCCATTCAAGCCACCACCTTCAATCCACAAACTTGAACGAATGGTACTTCAACGTTGGTCCACCGATATGAGTCATGAGGATTGAGTCCTGGATTTTGTAGGGGGATGCTGCTGTTCAAGTTCTTTGTGTGTTTTTCATGTAGGACTTAGTCCATTGACTTGAAAGAAAACATGCCCATCTGAGGTGAATGTTTGATGTTTGTGCACCTGACAATCTGAGCCAGCAAGTGCTGAAAAAAAACGATTCTGCTCACATGGGGGTGGGAGTGGTGGTGGGAACCACGGCAAAACAATATACCCGTGGCAGCTTTGAAAGTCTCATCGGGGGTGAATTTTGAAAGGTGTGGCTAAACTACACAGTTCTCCACCAACTCTGCCAAGGAACATGTCTATTTTTGATGGCTGTGGATCTGACAGTCTGCAGAAGGAGACAACATCATGTCGACACTTGAAAATTTGAATGGACAGTCTCATTCGGGGAGTGTTAAAGTTATGACACCTTACTTTCACACGTTCTTCACCGTGATTTGATTTCCCCATTTGACCAGCATGCTCGTTTGCACGCCAGGCCTGCTGAGCCACTGCCTGGTTCCCCAGCCTGATGCGGACCAACAGTTGGGGAGATTTGGGACTCCTTGCATTTTTGGATTCCTCACCCGATTATCGAACACTCGATTCAACACTTACTCAATGAACCAGCTTCTCTCTCATGGAGCTCATGGGTATGGGCAGACCTGTTCGGTGGATGAATTGGGTGAACCAAGTGGGTCAATTGTCCATGTGCATTCAGGTGTTCCATGATGTTCCATCCTTTTTTTCTGGAATGACACTGATGCAGCTGTAGTTTTTCTCAGCATTGCCGTCGTTCAGAACACCTTGTCAACATAGATGGATGTTCACTTGTTGTTCAAATCCCAGATCAATGATTGATCTTATTCGTATAAATCACTGTGTTGAGATGTCCCACTGGAGAGTCTGAACCGGTTAGAGCCCTGCATCATTTACCCCTCTTATTGTTGAAATGATCATTGGTGCATCCCTTCCATGATTGTCAATTGTCATCACTGTGACAAACCATTGATAATAACCCCAAAAGAACCGTGTTCGAAGAGTGCACTAGCTTTGTCTGCAGGCCATTTAGGCCATACTTTAGGCCATGGGGGCAAAGTGTGTCATGGAGAGGTACCTGCTGATGAAATGATTCAAGAATCAAACGACTTTTGTACTTGAAGATTCCAAGGCTCAGCAAAAAAACAGTGTCTCATTTCAAGGCAATCATTTGTTTTAGAGAGAGTGAGTGTCTGAGCCATGAAGCGGCCTCTCCGCAGCAAGACCATGAAGAAGCTGCGGAGG